CTCTCCAGTGCGTTGCGTGACTCTGGATGTGTTGCATGACAGAGAGTGACAGGCGGTAGTCGGTCCAGTTAAAGTTGTTCTCGTTAACTGGAAAATCTTTGCTCAAAGGCGTGTGCTTATATTTTTGATTATTCGACCGAGAAAACGACTCTAGTAGAGTCCAAACCATTCCAGGTTCAGAGGTCATGTCACAGTATACATCAATAAATGTACTTTTAGAAGTGTATATTGGGAAGACGTTAGCAGATGACCGTTTGCTGTATGCATTGCATGATACAGGCACGTCACACACCCTTCCTCTATACCCTGATGGACATTTGCACTCAAACTTACGCGTGACATTGTCACACAACTCAATACAAGTTGCTCCATTTTGACAAGGCGAGAAACGACAGCATCCATTGCTACACTTGCTTGAGCAGCCTGATCCCTTTAAACGGAAATGAAACCATTAGTTTTTATGTTGACTTGTAGGAACTGTTTCACTATGGTGTACTTTCTCAGCGCAATAAACCTTTACCATAATGGCTGCAATTGTGTTTTTCCAAAATAAAATAGATATGAATATTTTGTCACTRYAMCATCAAAGAACTATCAGAAATAAATGTTTTTGGAGCGTTTTAGAACTCTGGACAAAATAGGAWAAAAGTTATGGTGAATTATGTGGTGAATTTTCCACCAATGGCTGTCTGTCTATTTGTTTCTGAATATGAAATATGACAAAACTTTGTCACTGTCATGTGAATATACTACMAGAAATAAACATTTTTGGAAAGTTTTACAGCCAAATGAAATACAAGAAATGTATGTAATTTTTAGACAAGGCCTATATAGCCTCGTTCTGGTGTTATGATATATTTTAAATCCTTATAACTTCAACAGAATTTAATATTTTCATTTCAAACTTTTATATGTTGTTATTAGCACAGGTTCCTATCAGCTGCTAGTTTACTTTGACTAAAATTCTAAATTTTAAAAATTTATGTTAACTAGATGGCGGCCATTATGGTAAAGGTATATTTATTTTGCGACACTGTTGTGAAACACGTTGATAAAGTGCTATATATGTTATGTATGTCATATATGTTATATATGCGGATGGACTTTTAAAAATACCAATTGCGACAACTTGATATGCCATTATACAGAATAACATGGTGTATCACACCTCAAAGAATTTTGAGCTCATTTGATCCGTATGCCACAAGTCGCGATCGCAGACGACAATCATACGGTGAAAATCGACCTTTATAGCTACCTGACGTATCAAATCGTGCATCTGAAGGTGGCTTCCATGCCGGATGTCACTAAACGCCAGATAAATATGACACATACCTACACACTACACAGCTCACATCAGGATTAAGATAACTTCACCCTCAATGTAAGGAACGTCGTATCATATGTTTGAAAATTTTCATCTTTTTTCCATAGTATGAAGTATTTACCTTACTCTTGAACTCCTGTTTCAGCTCGAAGTACATGTAAYCAGGCGCTTTCTTAAATCGCTCTGCTGGAACAGTGTATCTGTTCTCGTCAATCAACTCGCATTTCCTACCATAGAGCTGATATGATACACATCTACAATCTTTCACACAGATACCAAAGCATTGCTGGATTGTATCTGCAGTAAGATTCTTGTAGGAACTTCCAAATAGGGCGTGGTCTTGCACGTGGTTTTTGAAGTCAAAGCTTCCAGTATATCTGATCATTGGACAAGTCGGTTGGAAACAGGTGATGATTGAGGCAAAGGTAAGGCAAAGGGAGACCAACATGCAACTTTTCTCCATCTAAACAAGAATATCACCTCAATATCTCAATGCCTACAGTTAGCTGTATGTCAGTTTATATTTCATGGAGGTTTGCAGAGAACTATAGATTGAATGGATTTGTATTGATGAGCAGAGGTGACGGAGAATATGTCTTGTTGGATAGGGTTGGGGGATGAGGGAGGGGCTAATAATTACTGAAGTCTGGAACAAAGATACTTCCTTGCTCCCCGAAGAGTTTTTTTCCTTACTATGATATTGCCAAGGAGACGTGTAGGATAAGGAATGAAAATCCTTTTTGTAGCTCGAAGAGACGCTCGAAGTGTCCTACCACCTAGCTAAAAGCGTCTACAATAATRTAGGATTTTCACAAAGATAAGCAGACTGCAGGAGCAACACTTGCTAAAGTCTCGAAATTCTCGCATGATTGGGTGAACTTTTTTGGTATGCTGCAGAGCAATATTGCGTGTGGGTGCATTGAGTAAATGAATCTTATAATTCGAATTTTCATAAATAAATTATATAAACGACGAGTTTCATACAAGGAACTTTCTCGAAATTTTATTAACTTTTCTGAAGCAGCGAATTATTTATCTAAGTTGTTTCCTTGAACGTCAGAAAGCCATTAAATTAACATCCAATTAAGATTTATGCGTGAACTGCTATACATTCTCACGTACTGATAAGTTTTTAAAAGACATGCTATTATATGGAAAGCCAACACAAGAGGAGGACGAGCGAGATTCGACAAAGAAGAATAGATTTCGACATAAAAAAAGATTGGAAATCGTGATCAATTCATTTTAAGCCTTTTGATGTGATTGCAAACAGCTGAATATTGTACAAAACCACGCATCCTGAATGTAAAAGTAGAGTTCAGATACTTAACCATGAACTACTTTAATAATCGGGTAAATTGCTCTGAATTAGGCGAATTTCTTTGTTTCGATTGTATGATATATCCRTACTATATTGCGCAATAGTTTTAACCGTTAAAACGTTTTTTGCCGACTACGATAAGTCATTAAATCTGTGAAACAAAATTGGATTATTTTAAAAAGGGTCATACGCCTAATTGAAAAAAAAACACGCTTTCAAAAAGGTTTCATCATCAAAGCAAAGTCCGAGAAAGAGCATGAGAAGCTAAATAATTTATGATTTTAACATGTATAACGAGTGTGTTGCCAAATGTTTACCTACACTGAATAGAAAAACGTCGTCTGTGCATGCTGCTCCAATGTAAAATTTTAGGCAAACGTGATTCGTATTCAAGAGCATCCAAGAACCCTTTTTGGCCTTAGATTTGATGATATCGCAATTTCGCGACGGCGAAAATAACGTTTTTTTTTCAATGAAGTGCAGCCAAATTGACAGAAAACAATGCAATTTAAGCCTAATAACGTGTATTAGTGTAACATYGATTTCACGGGTTTTTGGACTTCACTGTTGTGCTTGCTTTAGATCTCTATGATTTCTTTTAGTTCATCTTACTCTAGATTTCCAGTTCATTCTTTGTCGTTGCGTCTGTATTTGGTCAAACATGGCACTTTATTTTATGAATTAATGCAATGAAGACATTTTTTTCAATAAGAATATATATAATGCAGCTCTAAGTACTCTCGCTGATTTATAGTTCATAATAAACAGCATCCAATGACATGGCAAACCTTATCTTACTAACCTTACTAACGCAGTTATCTCGCATTTTAATTCTTTTGGTTTGGTGATAATCTATTTTTCGCTCAGTTTTTGCTGTTGTTCGGTTATTGATGTCTTTACAAGAAATTGATTTATTAAATGCAGTTGCCTTTATTCCACCTGTAGCACAGCAAGACATCTACGGTAGGAGAAATCTAACCATCCAATCAAGAAATCAGTCTAATTCGAATAACGAGTGCCATATATGTTGTTTTTATATATATATAGAGGTAATTGTGTGAGGAAGTAGCTGATCCCATTAAAGAGTGCTCAATACACATAAAGTGTAGAGGTATATATACACATTACCTGTAGGAGAGCTGATTATTTATATGCATTTCGCTAACATTTCTAGAACGTACGTCTTAGCACCATCTTGAAACGCGCAGCAAGGCATATTGGGTAGCTTTGCATCAAAACAACACGACTCATAACTGTGGCTAAAATAGTGATGGAGCCTGAAGTGGTACCCTTTTTGACAAATTTCTCTTCGAATAAATTTCGTCTTTTTAATTTTTATTTTATTCTTTTCATAGAAACCCCTTTTTTGTCTATTTGGYATTTAATTTCACTATAAAACCGAAGTAAGTCCACTTTTTAGAGTTCACGGCCAAAATTAATAAACATGATGACATGTGACAGAACTTCTCACCAATCGGTTCTCCATATGCTCCAACCAAGCACAAACTGTACGACTCTATAATTTTCAGYTGAATTGTAATTACTAAACCAAGTCAGTTAAATTATTATTTTTTCGATCTCATTAATATTTTCACAAGAAACTTAATTAGTGAAGTAATATCCCCTATTTCACCTGTACGTCCCAGCAAGATATCAAAGGTTTGGGAATCTAATCAGCCAAAATTATCAAGTCAAATCTGACTAAGAACGTTTATATAGTACATTTCGCTGTCATTAATATTTTGCTACATCTTAAACACGCAAAGCTCAAGTCATACATGCCTCGGTGCGTCAACACAACATGWCCTGTGAATTTGAAATTAATAAGGATTTCACTCAATATTTTTCTACAGTGGAAATGAARCATTTTCTAATTTTGCTAGCTATGAGTAAATTAAATGCACATATTATTCACAATCAATGATCATTTCAACTTATCAACAATTTTGATCATTTATTTTTAGTTTATTGAAGTAATTTTAGTTGTTATGGTTAAATTAATTTAGTTCTTTTAATAACAATACAATGGTTGGGGGCCCAAAAAAGGGGGCCMAGTTTCACCATATATTTTTATGAAATACAGTTTTGGATTTAAAGTTTATTAGTCGACTAAATTATGCAAAGTTTGACCAAAATTGATCAATTGAAAAATATCTCTGAAATGCTSAAATTCATTCTATTTTTTTATATTGTTTGGTATATTAAACACTCTTGGATTGGTCGAGAATCTTTTTTTTTTGAATACAAAAGATATTATTACATTGGTGATTGCCATAAGCAGGTGAACACAAATATTAATTCCCAGAAACTCGATACAACAGTGRTGCTAGCATGAGCTTTTTTAAGGATTTCTATCTTGAAATCAGTTGTTTTCAGAAATCTAACAGGATGTTGGAAATGCTTCAAAGCTCTGAAGGTCAGGATACGAAATTGTTGATATGCATGCTGTTGTTTTTCTTTTCAACTTTTGGTCACGTGATCATCTTTTGAACATTAAGAACAGATCGTCACGGGCAATATGTAAATTTCTTCAGTCAACCATTCAGATTCGAATAATTTGTTTGAATTGAAAGAGAATTCGAAGAGAATCCTTGAAATACGAAGAAACGTTGTTAAGATGTTAGAAAATCTCATTGATTGTGAATCCCCAATATGATTTCGTCGTGCCGAACTTAACGCACAAAAATATGTGTAAAATTTTACAGTAATAATGGATGCAAATTCATGGCGTGTTATCGGAACTTTTCTTATGCTTTTGACTGCATTTGGTTCGACTTATGAATCAACGCCCTACTTAATGTATTTTGATAGACACAGATAGACTATTTGGTTCGGCTCAACGATAGCACGACGTATGAACCGGGTCTAAGGCATTCAGAAGGATAACCATATCGAGGTCACATTTTCGCGACTCGATATTGGATATCAGGAATAATCCACGAGATGCAAGTTTTTCACGTTTTTGTCACTTTGGCGAGGACTTGAGTGTGTAAAATGAGGCATAGACAAGGGAAAACATAAGGGACTATGCAACAATTATTAGGAGGGGTGCCCTAAAACCAGATTTCTTAAGCAGAAAATTAAGAAGCATAAGAAAATAGCTCTTAACCCTCGAACCCCCTATCTATGAACGTTAGTTATAAAACAAAGCGTGGACTTTTTATGCACGGTCAGGGACCGCGACACATATTTTGGATCTGGGGGTTTAACGACCGCCAAAGGCGGGAGTATTCAGCGTTTTGAGAGACATAGAAAATTATGAAAATTTTCACGAATGAAGCTAAAAGCCTCCCCCTCTGTTAATTAGTTAATTTTACTTT